AAATATTAAAATAATTTATCGATAAAATATAATGGCCAAAATACCCCTTGAAACTTTCAGGGACATTTTGGTCATTCAATTTTATTGAAAATATTATTTTTATATTTTTCACTAGTGCGAGTTTAATAGAAGATTGGAAGTCCAAAGTTTAGTGTCAAAATAGTTTATAGAAAAAAATTAAAAATAAAATAGTGTAGAGACTTGACATTGTGATTGGAGCAATTTTAGGCCTCCATTTAGAATGAATGGTTGGATAAGGGAAAGTATATAAATTTTATGTTGTAGGGGATAGAAAGTTTGCCCATCTTTTAAAAGCATCTTTATGAATGCACCTAATACTAGATTTGCTATCTTTTCAAAAGCAAAAAGAGGCACTAAAAATTTCAAATTTATACTTTAATTTAATGTTATTATCAAAGTTCCCTATATTCATACCTAATTTTTACAATTGTGAAAAAAAAAAAAGGGGGGATTTATGGCCACAGTGAGGGTGCGGTCCTTGATAGAGTAGAATGGCAGATTATGATTCGTTGTAGATGACTCAATTAGTTGGTGAGAAAAGATATGGAGATTTATGGTCGCGGTTAGGATTTGGCTCTTGATAAAGTAGAATGACAAATTAGGATTCGTTGTAGGCGACTCAATTAGTTGAAAAAAAACTCTAATGATGATGATCACCCAATTTCTATAATTGTTGCTTTTCCCTTAACTTTTCAACTTAGTTTCCTTTTACAACATTTTTGCCTCTTACATGAGATTTGTGAGTTGTTTGGATGACACTAAATATTTTGAATTGCAATTTAAAAAGCCAACTTTTCAAACAAAAAAGTGGCAGAAAAAAATATTCGATTGATACCTTTAATTTACATTATTATCCAAAGGAAAAAATTACATTATTATCCAAAAGGAAAAAATTTATATAAAGTTGCAACCTTAAAATGTGGAATTAAGGTGCATCTCAAAAATGCATCATAGAAGGTTATTTTGATGTTAGAAAAACCCTCTATTAACCATCTCGACATCGAGATATATGAATATGAAAAGAAAAAATAATTTTGAATCTTAAAAATAATGTATCTTGGAATAATTTATCTACACCATCTATTTTCAAGTTTTTCAAGCATTTATAGATCTACTTAATTTGAACTATTTTTGAAGTTTAAGATTTTATATTTAGAGATGAAAATAGATTCTCAAGCCACCCAAGAGTTTTGGCCACCAAAATTATATTTATGATAAAATTTAAAGGTGCACATTAATTTGGTTTTTTTAAAGTTGCACCTTGTACAAATGCACCCTTATCACAATGCTCCGTAATGTAGAAATGCTTTTTTCATACCCAAATTTCAAAATTGCTCTAATTTGAATTATGAGAATCTCAACATTTCAACTTAATTTCCCTTTATCACATTTTCGCCTCTTTCATGAGATTTGTGAGGCATATATATATATATATATATATATCCGAACTTGTATTTTTTTTATTAAGTGAAAAAATTTATATTTTGATAATCCGAAGTTTTAAATTTATTTGAGGCATATAAGGGGTGAAAGTGTTGTAAAAGGAAATTAGGTTGAGGACTTTGTATTCTAAAAAGGGAAAGGTTTCTATACTTTCCCTACAGTATAGAAGATATAAGTTTTCCCTACCATCCAGCTGTCCAATTTTGATCAAGAGAGCCACTCACCGTTTGATCTTATATCCGATGTCTCAAGGTATTTTATTTTTTAGTTTTTTTATACAAATTGTACGAATATAAAATTTGGTACGTGTTATCTTCTCATTGGGGCGCAACTACAAAAATTATTAAAAATAATGTTTCGATAAAAATAATCTTTCTGGGGTATTTTAATCATCTTATTTTATTGAAAATATTTTTTTATATTTTTCTCTAGTGCGAGTTTAATAGAGGATTGGATGTCCAAAATTTGGTGTCAAAATAGTTTATAGAAAAAAAATTAAAAATAAAATAGTGTAGAGACGTGACATTGTGATTGGGACAATCTTAACCCTCCATTCAAAATGGACATTTGGATAAGGGGAAGTATATAAGTTTTATGCTATAGAAAAAGTGTAGAAAGATTGTAAAAAAAAAAAAAATAGGAAACTTTGGAAAAAAGAATTGCACAACTTGGGTATAAACTCAATATTTTTACCTTATGGGGGATTTTGGTAAGTATGAGTTGAAATTTTTTTATGCTGACATTTTTACTTTGAAAAAAAGGATGGAAAAGTTTATATAGATTTAAGCCTCTAAACAATCAAATTAGAGTCCACCTCAAAAATTTCACTAGAAGTGGTTGTTTTGATGTCCAAATATCCTCAAATTGATCATCTCGACATCAAGATGCATAGACATAGAAAAAAATGGATTTCAAATTTTAGAAATAGTGCATCTTGAAATGCATTGTTGGACCGTCACTTTTCAAGATTTTCAAGTTTCCATTGTCTTGCTTGATCTACACTACTTTTAAAGCTTTCAATTTTATAATTAAAGATGAAAGTATATTTTAAGACTATCACAAAGATTTTTAGTATTGAAAGTGCATTTCTTGTCACTATTTGAAGGTGCGCTTTATCTTGATTGTTTAGAGCCTCGGCTCTACACAAACCACACCAAAAAAAGGATGGACCATTATTTTTGGTATAGAAATATGATAATCAACCATAGCCATTAGATTTGAAATTTAGATACCAAGCACAAGTCACAAAGTTAGGAGACTATTTTTTTAAAAAAACCATGCATAATTTTTCTTAAAAATTTATGGCCGGAAGATTAAAGTTCACTCGACGATTTTCCGGAGTCGCTAACGAGTTTACGATTTTCCGGAGTCGCTAACGAGTTTATGAATTTCGACCGAATTCGAGTTATCGCCTTTGGACACGAATACCAGTCATAGTCATAACGGAAGGAATCTTCAAATTTAGGCGACAACGGTGCGGAAGAGATGACAAATGAACATTGCAAACTCTCCAATAAGAGGATGGACGGATTAAACCAGGTCTCTCTTTGTGGATGGATGGAATAAACATGGTCTCTCTTTCTCTCTCTCACATACGCACTCTTCAAGTGTGCAAAAAATGGATACCCGTCTTTTGCTTCTGTTCTTCCTCTCGCTCCTCTTTTTCTCCATTGCAGACTCCTCCTCCTTGCCCAGAGTTGCAATGCAAGGCTTTCAGAAGGTATAACTTATGAGCTTCCCCTCTCTGTTTCTACTTCCTACACTTTTCTCTTCCTTATCGGTATTAGGTTTTCATTCATTGTTTTGTGTCAATTGGCTGGACCTCGAGCTTGCTGTGTTACTTTTGCTGATGGACTATGGGATTTTCTTTTTTCTTATCATTCTGTTCACTTCATTTTTTCAAGTTATGTTTAGCGTTTTTGATGGGAGTTCTATCGGGTTTGCTATATAGTTTTACTGAGCTCAGGTGTTTGATGGGAATGTTTGATGATATGCTTGTGGAAATTAATTAGTCTAGCTTTTTTTTTCCTAGAAAGAAAATGCTGTGAACAGGATCATCAATTTGATATTATAATTTAGATCTCTTCCCTTACTTTGGAGAACCCGGTGTGTAGGAGTTTTTTAAAGAGACTGATACTTCGTTCTTGTTTTTGTAAAACCATTTGTACCTTGGAACATGGGTCCCTAGGGTGCTGAGTCCAAGCCAACCCGGCTGAGTTTTAAAACCATGGTTTCTGTTTTGTATCGTTGAAAAACTTTAATGATAATATGTTGCCTAAATAGACATGGTTAGAAGTAGTGAGAAAAGATATGAGGATTTATGGCCTCACTGAACGTATGACTCTTAAGATAGCATAATGGCAGACCACGATTTGTATAGAATGGCGGACCACGATTTGTATAGCTGATCCCAACTAATTGAAAAAAGGATTTGAAGATGAAGATGATGATAACAAGATGAAAGCTGCATCAATTTACCCCTCTTGCAGTTCCCAAGCTTTGTTTGGAATCAAATGAATTGGATTATTGTTTATGGTATTCTTGAGCAATGCTTTATGCCTTTAAAATTCATTGGAAGCATTCAACTGATTATTGAGCTATCATGGCATGGCCTTGTGGAGTTGGAAAAATGCCTTTGTGCTTTCTCCAATACAAATCTAAATGGACCTGTTCTGTTGAGGAAAAATAAATATTTGGGTTAAGTTTGTGTGAGATCTTGATAAGTTGTGCATTTGCAATTGGGATTTGAATCGCAATTTTGTTCGTTACAGTGACAGCACTAAAATTGAAAAAAACGTTAGGCAGTGCAACTATGTATTTGACTGATTAATCAGTGTCTATCTTTGCTAAACTTTCATGTGGATAAAGTTTCCGAGTAAAGCATTCCTTTCTTTCCTTGAAAGTAAACACATTATATGTTCATTGCTCAAAGATTTGATCTTGTGTTTTTGGTTCCCCCAGTGGAACAATAAGCTTGATTTCCTTGCAGGGCTTGTCACTGATGTCATTCAAGTAGATCTTCAGTGAGTAAAATGGTTTGGTGAACTGTTTGTTTTTTGTAACCATTTATAATGAAGTTGGTGGTTTAATGATAATGCTCCAATGTGCTATGTTAGTTGCTAGCTCAAGTCATATTTTGGTTTTGGATTTTTGTGTATTGACTACAAGGATGTACTGGATAGACTTTGTGGTTTGAAAGTTTTAAGAGATCTCAATTGCTTGTGTTGCTTGTGTGATCAATCCATGCAGCCTGGGGCTTCACAATTTATTTCTTTCTTTTGTTTTTTTATTTTATTTTTTGTTTTAGATATGTGATAATATTAATTAATGAAAATAATATTTTAAAATATGAGAGACAATTGAATGCACCTCTACCTAAGTTCCATAATAAACCTTCCTAAGGTTTACTAATTTATCCACCTGTATGTTAAGCATCTTCGGTACATGGCATATCTCTGTCACACAGACTTGTTTAAATTCAGTATCCCTGCAAATACCCCGCTAGTTTCTCTTTGAATCAAAACATAGTTTTAACATAATTCCATGCAATTTAGGAATAGTTGATGCATCTTCTTGTGATGAGCCAGATCTTAAAATCAGCTAATAAAGCTTTGGATTCATCTCAAATCGAGTGTGCCCCTGCCACTACAAGGCATTTGCTTCTCTGCCCTACATCAACTTCAAATTACACCCTTAAAAGCAGCCACACTTGGGGCCTTTTGCTCTGCCATTACAGTTTGGATTTCAGAGCTCCTTTAGGCAAAGGAAGCCTATCAATCTCATGACAGGGCTTAGGTATAATCCTGTGTGTGCGTGAGTATGTATGTGAGCATATATGTATCGTTGTGCGTATGGGTTTATATATATATTCCTTTTCCAATATCTTGAATCTATAATCCAGGAAAATGGAGAGATTGAAGAAGATGTCACACATAGAATTAGAGCTGGATGGGCGAAGTGGAGATGTGCAACTAGAGTTTTATGTGATTACCGCATACCAATAAAGCTGAACGGGAAGTTCCATGGGACAGCTGTGAGACCAATTTTGCTTTATGGGGTGGAATGTTATGCGGTCAAGAAACAACATACCCATTGGATGAGTGTAGCTTAGATGAGGATATTGAGATAGATGAGTAGCAAGACAAGAAGTGATAGAATTCGAAATGAATACATTTGGGAGAACTTCGATGTAGCTTCAATAGGTCATAAAATGAGAGCTCCAATAGGTCATAAGATGAGTGACAATCGACTTAGGTGGCCTGGTCATGTGCAGCACAGATCCAGTACAACACCTATTAGGAGGTGCAAGTTGGTTCAAGTGGAAGGCTAAAAAAATGCAAGAGATAGGCCCAAAAGGGCATGGTTGGAAGTAGTAAGAAAACATATGGGGATTTATGGCCTCACAATGGTATGACTCTTGGTAGAGCAGAATGGTAGACCAGGATTTGTATAGCTAACCCTAAATAATTGAAAAAATGCTCTAATGACAATCATGATGATATATATTCCTCTTGAAAATTATGTGTCTTTCAATTGGGCATAAAAAGGACCTTTTCTGCAAAGAAGCAACAAGCAAAAGTTGGTAACCATATCCTTACAAAATAAATTAAAAATATTTTACTTAGAGAATTTTTTTTACTACAAATGAATTAGGAAACCATTTTGCTGTGAAAAATCTTCATTAAAGTCCTGTTTCTGAAAGCTACGTACTTGGAAAGCAAATACTCTAGCATTGGCTTTGTTCTTAACACTCCAAAGGAAAATATTGTTTGATACTTCTGATCATTGGCTTTTCATAAATTCACAGATATTTTCCTGATGCCCCTCTTATGTAATTGTTTTAACATGAGGAGCAATCCTCGGATGAATCGAGGCACTGGAAATCTGAGTTTTCTTCTTTTTATCTGGATACGCTAGTAGTTTTTAATTAGAATAGAGGAGGAAAAGATGCATGTAAATCTTATTATTAGGTTCATTCATTTTATTTTATTTTGTTAGTTCGGTCAAAGTATTAGGATTTTCTTCCATATGATATTTGTGTTGTTTGTTTGTCATTCATTTTGTCTTTGCAGTTTTGATATGTTAAGTGATCAGGGTATCCATCCTGGAATGTTTTGGTTGGAAACTTCACCACTTTTTTTGTGACATAATGCTTCCGGTAACATAGAGATGCACCTCATATTCTGGCTGTATAGCGAAATTTTTATGAACGTTGTCCTTCTTTATTTTGAATGCCTTGTTTATCGGTGCAGGGTGATCTTCTTCAAGTAAGAGTAACCAATCTATCATCAAGAAAGACACGACTTCCATATGATTATTATTTCCTGAATTACTGCAAACCTGATCTGAATATGAACAACAATGAGAACTCTGTTTATACTGTGAGTCTCACATTCCTTCCTCACAAATTTCCATGGGCTTATGTTAGTTTAATAGTTTGGCTTGGCTGAACCTAAACGTGCATTGATTTACTGGTTCTGAAAGCATGGATTCTCACTCAGTTTTGAATGAGAGAAGACGAATCATGCAAAATCTCTTGCCGGGTAAAGCTTGATCGTGAATCCACAGAAAATTTCAAGGAGATGATTCAAAATGAATAAAGGGTGAATATGTGAGTTGTTAATATTTCCTCAATTGCTCTTGAACAGTCTTTCTGTTTTTATACTGTTTGTCATGCCTTCATTTCTTGTGGTTTGTTTTTGTGGCCATGACTCTAAGTAGATAGTTACCATGGGGAGCTTTTTAAACACACGGAAATAATAGGGTTAGCCATTCTTCTGAATGGATTACACAGGATGTTAGATAATGTTCCTGTTTCAGTTCACCATCGAGGTAGAGATGGAATTCAAACTGCAATATGCATGCATGGTTTTCATGTTGGATTCATGGGCAGCTATTTTGGGGTGAGTCCAATTGGGCTTATTTTGCTTTTTCCATGTTATTGACGTGTTTGATATTTAATTCATTTCATTCACCTCCCATACAGAGCAACTATGAGAAGTACTTTATCAATAACCACTTGCATTTCAAAGTCATTTATCACAAAGATGTCAAGACCAATGCTGAGCATATTGTTGGTTTCGAGGTTATCCCGTACAGGTGCTTTGCCATATCATTTGTTCCATTTTCTTGTTTTTTCTTTTATTCTGTGGATTTCCATTCTACCATTTTAGAACAAAGGAATATGATTTTATACAATTTTGTTTGCCTACACAACTCCTGGAATCAACTCAGCTAACCTCAGAGTTGACAGGCGAGATCAAGAGCTTTGTTACAAATTAACAAGAAAATCCAAGCATCATCCTTTTCTTTGTAATCTTGTTTTATCTTCATTTGTGTTTGAGATATATTCCGTTGTTAACACTTCTACAACCAGTGTGACACCTATAATTATACATGAAACTTGTTCTTGATTTCTAAAATAGCATGAAAACTTGGCTTGTTATTTGCATTACTACTATTTTTTCTGTATAGTCATTTCTTGCTTCCATATCTGCACAAGCTTGTCTTTGGCTCTATTGTCTTGTAATCCCATCTTCATCCAAACAGTGTGAATCATGAGTACCTGCTGCCTTGGGAAGAAGGCAAGAGCTTGATTACATGCAATTCGAGAACCAAACAAATTGACCTAGCCAGCTCTATACCTCAGAATTTGGCAGAAGATAAGAAGGTTATATTCACCTATGATGATACCTTCCAGGTATTTGCTTGAATCTTCTCACCTAAGCACTTCCATTAGTTTCCCATTTTGTTTCTCCATCATCTTTTAACTATATCTTTAATATGTGAATATGTATGTATATTTTCAAGATATTATTTTTATTTCTGAATTGTCATGTTCCCATTCTTAATATTTTGGCTATGCTCTTTTCCAGGAAGCCGATGCTACCCAGGCATTGACACTCATGTCAGTATTGAGCTTGTATAGGGGAGCATCAGATACGGCATTAATCGGGACATAGACCTGGAACACTTGTGCAATCTTTTAGTAAGTAATTAATAACTAAGAAAAATAGATATAGAAAAGTACAAGGAATGAAGGACAGATGTAAAAAGTTATAAAATTTAATAACAGACAAAAAATTTCAGAGCTACTTTGACTTTATATTCATTCTAGATCTTTACCAGACTATTTCTTTTGTCTGTTCATTGTTAGATCTTGTAGGTTGTGATGGAAGATTGGATCCAAATGTTAGAGACGAACTACTTATGAGATAGGAATGGAATTGTTTTTTGCAAGTGTCTGTCTTGGCTTAATTTTTGAGAGGGTTTTCAGAGATCCTTGAATGTTAAAAAGTGTTTGGCTTAACAAATATCTGTAGAATCTCTCCTTTTGTTTTGTTCCAATTGTTATCTTGAATCTAGATGCAAACTATTTATTTCAAATCAAATAATGATAAGTTAGATAACCAAATAATATATAATAAAAAATCCATTCTCCCTGTCAAATGCTCACCGATCTGAATCGAATTAGATAAGGAGCGGAACTGGTTCCAGAAAGAAATCGGCCTTGATCTCTCATATTCACCTTGTTTTGCATGTTCTCTTTATTTCTTTATTATTTGAACTCAAAATCATCATTTTACGAGTATCTTTTTTTTTTTTTTTTTTTTTTTACGATTTGAAAAATCAAACCCATCTATTTCCTACCTTTTTCCCTATGGATCTAGCCAACTTGTTTTTTCCTTTGTTTTTTACATTTAATTTTCTATTCTGAATTGGATTTGCTAATTCAGCCAGTCGAAATCAGTCTAGTTTTAAAACCCTACTCAATCAAATGCTGGCCAGTGCGAGCACCTGCATTTTGTGCATGTATTTCTCATGGGGAGCAAGATTAGAATCCATAACAGAATAGAAAAGACCGACTTGCCGGTGCAAAAAAAACATAAAACCACACTAGCTGGTTTACGATTGCACACGTAAGTTCTCTGCGATTACGCACGTTTTAACTCTCTCTTTCTCTGTCTCTGTCTCTCTCTTTCTTGCATGGAATGCTAGGGCATCCATCATGTTACATACTAGAGCAAAGCTTGCTCCAGCTAATCTGTAGATTTAATCGGTGCAATAACTCAATTTAAGAGAACTTCCTCTCTCAATTAATCAATACGAGCACACTCAAAACCAATTTGGACCAATTCACTAATTATTATTGTCTAGCCTTTCTTCATCTACAAAGAAAAATCAAGCATGTCCATGCAAGTAAAGAAATTGCACTAAATATAATCATCTTATTTATGAACAGTGACTATATGTAACACAATTATAAAAAACACCATAGGAAGAAATAACCATATGGAAGACAAGGCCAATAAAACTTTGAAGTCTTCAAACCAGTGCTTAAAAACACAATCTAGGGCTGAGACACAACATGGTTGCAAGCTTGGGACACCCAGTCCAACTCAAGTGAGTCCTAAATCAAACCAAGCTAAAAAAAGGAAATACCAAATTACTTCAGAAAAATGCTGACTTGGAGCGAGTTCCAAAATTTAGTGTTAGGACTCACAGCACATCCAACCCAATCTAACTCCCATGCTCAGTTGGGTATTCTTTAAACATGACTTCAAACACGCACGCATACGCACACAGTCTCTCGCATGAATTATGGCTTCCACACGATGGTTGTCTCCGCTATCATGGACATGACCACATAAGGATCCATGTTGGATGCAGACCTTCTATCCTCAAAACACCCTGCCAAACAGAAAATGCAAACACATTACACAAAATTCCAAAGAAAAGATCAAAGAAAAAAGTATTATAAAGGGGTAAGAGTGGAAAGACGAGAGAGGATTCAGATTCACATATATGATTGCTCTGCAGTCCCCAGGTTGATCTGGTGAACAGATTTGGGTAAATACAAATGGGATTATTTCTATAAATTTGTGTTACTAGATCACCAGTGTATCAATAGATTTATATAGAATTTTATGTTGTTCATGATGGTTTGTAAATTTGTCTTATTATATACTCAATTTTCTAGTTTCCTTTTTCTAGATTTTCTTAATTGCTTTGAGCTATAAATCAATTTCTTTCATATTCATCTTCCCCTACTATTTTCATATTTTATATACTTTTATTCCTTTTTATACCTCTCTTTACTTTGGGTGAGGTTTGTATAAGGTTCCCTCCTTATGCTGTAGAATTCAGGTGCACTTATCAAATTTACTTAGAGATGTCGTTTCGGCGTCGAAAATCTTATGATGGTTTCAAAATCTCTTTTTATCTTCAGTTAGAAAATTTAAAATTTAAAAAATGGTACAAATCTAGCAGATCAATAAACACTTGAAAATCTTGAAAAGAAACGGTCCAAATGACTTTTTACCGGATGTACCATTTTTTGAACTTGGAATTCTTTTTTTCTTCATGTCCATTCATCTCAAGGTCGAGATGATCAGTTGGAGGGTTCTCCTATGTGGGAACACTCTCCACTGTAGGATATTTGAGATGCACCTTTTCTCAACAGTTTAAGGTTGCAACCTCATACAAACTTTTTCCCTTTACTTTTTACTTATTTTTTGTTTTAGCAAATAAAAGCTAATTTCAGAGGTGATGTTAGGACATAAAAGAGAGGTTTGAGAGAGAAAGCACTGACTTCCAACTCTCGATAAGATTTGACAAAGAAAATGTTCATTTTACTTTCCCAAAACCTCAAAAACCATCATGCCTTATTCAAACAGTCACATGATCGAGTTGGGAACACCAACTTTTCATGTAATTCCTGGAAATATTGGTAAACCTTCAAAGAAGGCAGAATAAACTATGAAGAGAGGTACATTTCACAAATTCTAGAGTGTCAAATTTGTTCCTCAAAAACAAGCAAAACAAAATAATCAGAACCTTTGCCATTCTTCTGAGTGTCACGACTGACACGAATCGAAGCACCACAGTCGGCAACGCCCTGCAATTCAAATGATAAACAACGAAAAAACAAAAAAACAACTAACAATTAATTGGTAATCGACAAACGAATAAAAAGCATTAAAGATCATTGCTCACATAAAAGATCAATAAATAAGCAAATGCTGGTTGAGAAAATAAAACTTAGTCCAAACAAATGTCATATCGCTGTAATTCTTTCTTTTAAAGAGGAAAAAGAAATACCCAAGAGAAAGTGTTGATGTCTGCTGTCTCATGCTGACCAGTCAAGCGCCTCTCATTGCCTTCACCGTATGCATCAATGTGCTGTGTGTCGCAGGCCCAACTTCTCAATTGCTTTCTTTATCACATTGGTACCACCATCCTTCCTCATAGACTTGGTACGTACTGCAGAGAGAGAGAGTAAACATCTGGCAAAAGTATTAATCAGAAACAGGGAATCCAACTGTTGGGTATTAGCTTCCAAAAGAAAAGGATATTATGATATGTTTAGTTGTAGTAGTCAAAATCTTTCAGCAATTATGAAAATTTGGATTAGATTTTCACTTTGAAAAAATATAAAAAAAGTCAGGATCAGTGGATTTTGGCTTTCAGGCTTCAGTGGTTCAACGACGGATACAAATTACTCCGGTCCTCTGAAAAACCTTTGTATCATATCTGGAAAATTGCGTATTTAGTAGTGAACATGGCATCTAAACAACCAAATATAATTCATCAAAATTAGAACTTTCTAATATTTTAAATGTTTGGCTTGGGTGGTGGGCATGTGCAATGTGCATGTAATCTACAATTATGAGATTTCAGGAAGAGGCTGGGTAAAGTGCCTAAAAGCTCTATTTTTTGGGGGTTTCAAGCAATTTTTCTTATAAAATATTTGTACATTTATTTTGTAATTTAACATAGTTTTCACATTTTTTATGTTTTAATTACCCTGAGTTTTACCCCAGTATTTGGCTCGGCAAAGGGTCGTGGACTTGGCTGAGTTTTCGATCACCTTGATAAATAACAATGTACTCAAGAAAATGGTGAAGCAAATAATTTAGTAAATAAAACCAATTATTGAAACATAATAGAACAAATATCCTAATATTCCATATATATATATCTAAGCCATACAAGCAACAGTTAAGGGGTGACATGTCATTAGAGTAAAGAAAAGTTTTAGGTGAGTCAGCAGATGCAAGTGCCTGCTAACCTACAAATGTTGATCTTTAAGATGTTAAGTGCACCAGACATAATAACATATGAATGGTGCAAAAAAAAACCTAAAAAATAATTTAAACTTTATGTTTTTATATTCATGATCACCTTGACCTAGATCATGAATCCCTAAATAAAAAATCCATCTTCAACATAGATTTTAGAGGGGGGCTGCATATGCACACATGAGTCGGCTGACTCATCCTTAAAACCTAAAACGGTTCCCTCCTCTCTACTTTACTCGTTTCTCTCGATTGTCATTCATGGTAAGTGGACCTTCTTCATAAAAACGTATAGAGAGAAACTCTAAGATAAAAAGTCCATTGAAGGGTTAATTAAATGGGCAAGCTTTTTATGTTCCCCCTTATTCAACCGTCTATTTTGAATGGAGGGCTAGATTGTCCCAATCACAACGTCATGTCTCTACATTATTTTATTTTTAATTTTTTTTATAAACTATTTTGACACTAAATTTTGGACGTCTATTCCTCTATTAAACTCACACTAGTGAAAAAGATAAAAAAAATATTTTCAATAAAATAAAATAACCAAAAGGTCATTATATTTTATCGAAAAAATTATTTTTAATATTTTTTATAGGTGCGCCCCAATGAGAAGATGGCATGTACT